TATTTACCTTTATTGTTGTAAAAAATATACAACATAAAGTTTACCATCTTAATTTTTAAGCGTAGAGTGCAGTAGTGTTAACTATATGTGCATTGTTGAGCAACAGACTTTTAAACCTTCTCATATTGCAAGACTTGAACTCTGTATTCATTGAATAAAAGCTCTCCTTTGCCCATCCCCCAGCCCCAGGCAACCAGTATTCTGTTTCCTGTTTGTAAGATCTGGACAGAATTAGATGCCTCATAAAAGTAGAATCATGTGGTATTCGTCTTATTGTGACGGGCTTATTTCTCTTAGCGTACTGTCCTCAAGGTTCATCCATGTTACAGCCTATGACAAGATTTCCTTCTTTTTTAAGGCTGACTAGTATTCTGCTCTAGGGATGGAATACATTTTTTTAACCCACCCATCCATTGATGGGCATTGAGGTTGCATTTACTCTTGGCTCTAGTCAATAATGCTGGCAATGAACATGAGAGAGTTAATATCTCTTCCTCGAGATCCTGTTTTCAGTGTTGGGTGGTATTGCTGGGTCATATGGTAATTCCATGTTTAGCTTTTTGAGGAGAAAAACTATACTCTTTTCCCATACTGTTTTCTATGGTGGCTGTACCATTTTCCATTCCCACCAACAGTGTACATGTACAAGGATTCCAGTTTCCCCGCATCATCACCAACATTGTTATTTTACTTTTTTTTTTTTTTTTTGGATAGTGGCCATCCTCCTGGGTGTGAGGTGACAGCTCATTGTGGTTTTGATTTTCATTTCCTGTCGATTAGTGACATTGAGAACCTTTTCATATGCTTGTTGGCCTTTTTCTCTGTGATTTGTTTTTAAGTTTTTCCTTAAGTGTCATCATGTTATATTGTCTGCAGGGAGTCTTTCTTTTGAGAGGACACTCATCGGGAAGTTCAGAGATGGTCAGATAAGTGTAGGAAGCATCATGTGTTTCAAATGACACTAGATTTTTATTCTTTTCTCTTTCTTCATTTTAACCTCTCCACGCAAGCTACACCACCCTCTCCCTGCTCATGAGGCATAAGGAAGGGAAAGATCATAGCACTGTTTTAAGGGAAGAAAGATTTTGGATGTAGGAAAGTCTTTTTTATTTCTTTTCTGGAGAAATCATGTTGCTGGCACATTTCTCATGGCTCATGTTCTCTGTCTATGGACACAATACTCAGTGTAAAATAGCCTTTTTTACATTAAAAAAAAAGACTCAAAAACAAAATGCTTACAATCTGCACTTATCTTTGGCTTTGAAAGCCGCCTTAACATGCTCATTCACATGCAATGGTCTGAACAAACAAAACCCCATAAAATCAGTGCTATGTCACTAACAAGCTTTTAATAAAGCTGTTCCGGTGACATTTCTTTGGCTTAATATAATTGAGGACATTTAATTTTTCACGTGCAGGGACTCAGTATGTACTAATTCACACTGTGTGATTCAGGACCAGAGATGAATTGAAAGACAGTTATGGCATCATCCTACCAGACTCAGGTCCTGTGGGTGAGCTCCTGGGCTGGCTCTATAAATTAGCAAGAGGTTGATAAGAGCTCAAATGATTTACATCAAACCCTTTAAGATTTGGGTAGACTAGGTGTGGGACAAAGTAAAAGAAAAAGGGGAGAGACTAGGCATACTGAGAAGACCCGGGTAGCTTCTCCGATCAGTAAAATAAGGGCAGTAACTCGTGTCTACTTCACGGAGGCATGGAAAAGATTAAAGCTCTCTTTTGAGGGAAATGCTTCATGTAAAAGTAAGGTATTTTATATTTCGAAAGAGAAACAGGGTTTTGTAGACAAACTTTTCTCTGATTTGACATTCACCTAGTGTTCGTTAGGAGATGTCGAAAAAGTACCTTTTTTGAAATCTGTAATCAATAAGCCCAGTTCTCTCAGGAAGGTGGGCAGTGGCGTGTGGTGGGATCCAGCAATAAAAGGAGCTTCGGCTCCATGAAGAAGAAAGGCACAAGGGTGTCCTGCCCGTGGTCTTTATTTATTTATTTATTTATTTATTTATTTATTGAGAGAGAACCAGTGGGGGAGGGGCAGAGAGAGAAGAGGGACAGAGGATCTAAGGTGGGCTCTGTGCTGACAGCAGCGAGCCGACGCAGGGCTTGAACTCCTGAATCGTGAGATCCTGACCTGAACTAAGTCAGCTGCCTAACCCACTGAGCCACCCAGGAGCCCTGGTCTTCACTTTAACTGTGAGAATGATTGCCAGGACTTTGATTTGGCTGGATCTTCAATGTCATAGACCTTGCAAGATCTTGTAACAGTCAGTGTAGTCAACAAGGCAGCCAAACTGTTTGAACTCATTGTTAGATGGTTTTGGTTTATGTTTACGGTCCACTTGACCCCCTAAACAGATCAATACATGGTGGACAAGGCTAATGTATGCGAGGAGGCCCTGGGAATTGGGCTAGGCACTGTGGATGGCTTGCTGTCTGTGAATAGGCTGTGTACGCCAAACTGTTGGGGGAAAACAGATTTGATACACATGTTGCTGCCCTAGGCATCATGCTTTGGTTCATAGTAGCCTCAAGTTCAAACCTACATGAGAACCCAGAATCAAAAGTTTATTTAACTTGGATTTTAATTTTGAAAAAATGTAAAACCGAATGCAACTCAATGGTACCACATCTCAGAACGAAATTTTAATACGTGCCCTCTGAGCAAGTAAACATCTATGGACTCCTGTTCACACATCTGCTGCCGATTCTCAGAACACCTTTGGATAACTTTCTTGCACTTACAATAAAAAACCTAAGTTATCCTTACATACTGCCATTTTTCTCCCATTTATTACAGATCTTGGTTCATACGGCCTCACCTTTGTGACTAGGCAAGTTAATTAAGCTCACTGTGCTTCATTTTACTCAGTATAAAATGGGCAGTATTATTCCTACATCACAGAGATCCTATAAAGATCTTAGCATGGATCCTTGCTAAAAGCTGCCTTCAAGTACTCGTAAGTGCCACCAGCAGGGCTGCTGCTGTAGGGATGAATCCCTGTAGCGTTTGGGCTTTACCAGGTGGTAAAGGACCATGACTTTGGCCGTTCAGCCTAATAGGGCTGCTATTTGGCTTTTCAACCATTTCCCACTGCCCGACAGCTCACTTACTAGTCCCCAGACATGCTGAAGTACCCAAAGATCATTGCTGGGCAGAGATCTTTGCCTTTGATTGTTCTCTGCCTGGAACTCTGCCCCCCTACCTCTCGCCTCCCCCCCCATCATGGGATCGCAGCCAGCTTGCGTGTCACCTGCAGAGCCTCTCCTGGACCACTAGTCTAAAGGAGAGCCTCCTCCTAGTCACTATCGTTTCCTGGTCTAATTCCTTCACGGCACCTCTCACTTTCTGACGCCATCTTGTTTATGATTTATTTGTGTGTTGTCTGTCTCTCCCCTACTAAGATGCAAGTTGTGTGGGAGCAGGAATCTTGGTGCCTTGCTCTGGAACCCAGAACTGTGTCGGTCACACAGTGCATTGCTCATTACTATCTTTTGAAAGAATGGATGACTATGATTGCCTAAGTCATATTTTCCCTTTATTTAAAACACCCACAGATGCTTTTTCTTATTGAAGAGCAGATGGCTGTATCCAAGGTAAATATTCTTAAAAAAATTTTTTTAATGTTTTTTAATTTATTTTGGGGAGACAGAAAGAGACAGAGCATGAGCAGGGGAGGGGCAGAGAGAGAGGGAAACAGAATCTGAAGCAGGCTCCATTTTCTTGCTCTACTTTATGTTTCTAGGTATGCAAGTGGACAAACTCCTTAAGGAAGCTGTAAAGGCAGGCATATAATTCCTCCTGGCTTCACCGTGTGCCTCGTTTATGAGCCAACAAAATATGTTTGGCTACGTGTTTACATAAACAAACAAATGTGTCTATGGAATGGAAATGCATCTACGCTAACTGAATTGTGAATGTCTGAATAGATAAACACGTGGGTGCATCTTTCTGACTCTCGTGCTGGAAACAACCCTCCATGGCTGATTGTTAATATTTTACAAGTCGGTATCTTAAAAGTCAATGCCATCTTTCATATCCATGAGTGTATTTTGACTATACCTCAGTCTATTTGTCCAAAGAGAAAATTGAAACAAATATTGTTGTTACCCGATAAAAGTTTCTGTGGCTTTATTATTTTTTTCCCCAAACCATTAGATATTTTTCCTTTCCATGAAATTGGAATCAGTTTATTTTCAGTTTGTTACATTCTGGTTTGGTAGATGGAATTATCCTAAAATTCCTTAATTCTCTGTAGAAATCGCTTTTCTCATTAGAAGCCAAAATAGTAATAATGTGAACTAAATTAAAATACTGCTAACAGTTAAACATTGTAGTGTTGATAACTTTATTTATATGGTTTCCTTTATTTAAAAGAACATTCTTGAAATAAGTGAGGTATTCATAGTAATCATGGTTAACTGTAATAAAGAATGAATGCTTTCCAACGGGTGGTTTTGACAACCATAATCAGCACCTAGAGTAGGTTTAGCACAGAGTAGGATAAATATTTGTGCTAAGAGGGCACATATTTGTTAAGTGAATCCTCACCATGTTACACAGTAGTTAGCATTCCTGATAGCATGGGAACTTTTAGCAATGGAAAAAATCAATGGAATTTGCTGAATTTGGAAATGGTTAGTCCTTTCACATATTATCTTACTTGCCTCACCTCCGTGATAAAATACTGACATCAGTTCTCAAGCCACTAAATTTTATCTTAGAGAAGAAACCAGTACAAAAGAAGAGAGATAATAGTATCTTCCATACACATTTGGAAAGCTCTTCAAAGTTCTAAAGTTCTAAAAGTTGATGATTTCAAATGCCAAGCATACTTAGGTGAGTGGTACTGATTCCATCGATGGTTCCTTTTCTTTCGTTTAATATTGCAGTTTCTAAAAAGGTCTGAAGCAAAAAGAAATCGAAAAACTCTGAAATTTAGACTGTGACAATAATGAAGAAAATGCAGAAAGGGCACTGGTAGATTTTTAAAAACTATTTTAATACAAGATTAATAGTAATTTTCTATCCAAATCAGAAATGAAAAATCTTAACCCAAGTAATATTCATTTGACAGTCACATAAAATTTTAGGTTTGATTGGTGCACACATTTGTCCTGCATATATTATGCATATGCACACAGAGACCTCACTGTCATGCACCTTCAGATGTCTTCTCGTGAAAGTACCTCATTACAAGGCAATGTCAAAGATTGTAGGAACTATTCAACTTTGAATGAGGTTCAAATGGCCCCAGGCTAGGCTGAGTCCCATGCCTAGCAAACCGTGATGTAGCAAGGCTCCAGAATGCATACAAATCAATACTCTACTTGTATAACTTGGCCTGAAACTAAACACTGGCTAATGTCTCCACCTAGGAGAAACACGTCGCAAACATATGGGTTATGGTCTCCTTTACTCTTCTCTTGGCAAAGCTAGACTGCGCTCCACCCCCACCCTCTTTTAAGTTAAAAGTCAGGTCTATTAGTGACTGTAAGTAATTAAGAATGAGTTTGTATTTCTGCAAGTTTTGGGTAAGTCAAAAAGTGTTACATTTGCTAACACTGCCGCCTTTAATCAGACCACCTGATAATTAGCCTTGCAAAGAGAAGCAATAAAAGAATCACAACTCAGGAATTTGCCAAGTTTTTATTCCTCCTTGGGGACTTTAGTTGGTGTTCAGTGTGTAGCCAAAACATGTGTGTAATGGCTAAAGAATTAAAGTAGGCTAATGTCTACAGCAGGGAATATAAATTAAATATCAGGGTTCTGTGTCCAATAATATTTTCAATGTGTTTGATTTATAGAATGGTACTTTTATAATTACTACTTCATAGCGTTTTTCAATGTAGACAAAGTAGTATTTTCTGCCCCTTACAAGGAAAGCGGGTAATAGCGGTCACTTATCGGGATAGATCACCGTAAGGGAGTCCAGTTGCCAGTGCTGACACTGTTCTATGACGGCTGTAATCAAAGTACTGACTTGACCTCCATGAAAGTGACAGAAGACTGTCATGGCTGTCCTTCAATACAGAACCCTATGCGGAGCTCTACTTGGTGAATTTACAATTCATTCTTCTCTGCTAAAGACTTTAGCCTCTGTTTAGCTTTTGTTATAACATATACAAAGTATAATATACACCAATTACAGACGTGTATTTCTGTTAGAAAAATACATATTATAACTAAAGAACATGTAAATAGAGGCACTTCAATAAGCTAAGTGTTTGCGGTTATGAGCATCACCCAACAATTTCTAGTGTCTGATTTCAGTGAGCCCATCCCTCCCTACTCATAACAGAGGTTGTGATGTGATTACAGAATTTAGGAGACATCAGAGCAAATGAGGGCAGATTGGGAGAGCATTCTTTCATCCCCTATCACTGCATTGAGATGAGAGAAAGTAATTTGGGCGGAGGGTGGGGGAGGGCGAGCAGGAATGTCAAAATACTTACTGAAATGGGATAGCCAGATTAAACCAATTCCCTTAGGACAGAAAAAGTCTCATGTTAAATTAGTCTGAAAAATCATACAACATACTCGGATGGTGATAGGAACTAGGAAGTGCAATTTGAGGAATATTTCGACCACATCCATGCAAGTGACTGATGTTGTGGCATCATTAACTGACAGTCATTTCAGCTCTCTGCCTGGCTCTTATGGATTACTATAGCTCACCAATATGGGTAATATCGATATGAAGGTGTTGAAACAAAGGGAGCAGGCGTTTATATATTATCTGTGTGTTTCGTGTGTACAGAAGATGGGTTCACATTCATTAATATAATGTGTGTTCATACACATGCACAAAACCTTTCGGGGGTGAAAGCACAGAGCAAACAAGGCATTCTGATCTATTTCATAGAAGACAATGCAGAAATATTTAAAAAAGGAAAGACTTGGAGTTTAAAGCCATAAAAACAAGTTATTACTCATATAGTCTGGAAAATCAAGACTGATTTAATTTGTATTGCACCTTAATTATTGGAGAAAGACAAGAACTGATTTCTGAACATATGATGGAATGAGCAACATAAATGATTGGTCCTTCATAGCGATGTTTTCTGTGCAACTGGTGATAGGAAGCTGAAGGTTGGCAGTGAAATGGATGGTTTTCTAGAAGTGCGCAATGCTGAATTAGAGTAAGTGTTAATTTCATAAAGGTTTAAATGAAAAGATGCCACAAAGTCTCTCAGAATCCTACTTTTCATATTTCAGTAGGCATAAAATAGCAATAGATGCTTCTAAATGCTTTTCAGTTTTGCAAAAGTGCTCAAATATACTTAATACTACTGTGCCGCATGTGTTCTACTTAAATGTGACGACTAAATCAATAACTAATTATAATTTTGATGAGAGCGAAGATCGAAAGATACCATTTACGTGCCATTTCTGTCAATGGGTTAAATAAAATGTGACCGGCATACTACGGTGTCTTGAAGCATTACTTTTCCCAACCCCAGATCATCATACAAACCAAGAAACACATGGATAGCCAACTGTATTAATAAAGCCCCAGTTTGGTTTATTTCACTTCTCTCTAACATGGGGAACATAGGGCCTGGCTTTGGTACACTTGGTGGGTCAGTTAGGCTTGTGGCTCTAAAGTGGCCTCTTGAGTTAGGTCACATATCCAAGCGCCAAGCGGAATCCTAGGCTGAAGGCGTACGCGAGAGCAACGATTTTGCGTGTATCCCACATTCTTTACGGATACGGTTTTCATCACCGGTACAGTCCTGAACCCCATGGCTCTCCCCATGAGCTCGGTACCGTTGGGAGCACCCAGAACAAAGCACGCTCATGCAAAAAGGGTGTGCCCTGGCAAACTTTTAATAAACGGACAGTTAGATACGTAAAAAGTTCTCTTTCTTGATTCTCGGTGCTCACAGACCGCTGAGGAATCCCTTCTCTGAGCAGCACAGAACAAGAAGAGCTGGTTGACAAAACATTTTCGTTACAAAGGTGTGTCAACCCTGAGCTTGGAATTAAGAAGTTAAAATCTGTGATTTATATATATAGAGATATAAAAATAGATGATCATACTAAGACTAAAAAAGTGAAAGAAATCTCCATGTCAATACTATATATATATTTTTTTGTCTTGACTTTTTTTGTTGTTGTGAGTTATTTTGTAAGAGAATGCCCTTGTGATGCAGAAACCAATTGCCACAAAGCAAAGACTTAAAAATGAACACTCACTCACAATTGGATCTAATTGCTTGTAAGTTCATGAAAAGAACTCTTATTTGAGGAGCGTAATGAGCACAGGGGCAGAAACATCGAATTAATGTCAAACCTGTGGCTAAAGCAAAGCTGTTTGTATCACTGAAGATTATTTTCAGTTGAGACGGTTGGGGAGGATGAATCGGTGGGAGCATCCACTAGTCACTGGAGATGAAGACAAAAATCTGTGCCAATTGGATACAGTGGACAGACGTTAAGAGAATTAAGGAAAATGGTGCCATCGCTGAAATTGAAATTGGGCAAGGTGAGAGAGAGGTGCTGGGTCGTGGCAATTTTGCTCTCATATTAAAGATGGAATTCTAAATTTAGTATCAGTACCCCCAAATCAGTTTGGTATTCTGTGGACAGAGTGCAAGATGGTAACTCCAAGACAACACTGTATTTTCACCACATTAAAGAAAAAGTCAAACTTTCTCTCCCAAAGCATTTTTGCAAACCCGATTTATCACAGAGAAGCTTACACTGGGAGTCGGCTGGCAACGCCGACCTCACAATGTTAAAGCTCTTTTATTTTTCTCTCTTGTTTGCTCCTTTGTTGAAAATGCAGTTGTCTTGGGATTTGGCCTGATTTTGCAAGGAAAATTATTTTCTTCCTGCCTTTTTTTTTTAACGGGAGAAAAAAAGCTCACAACGTGAGATTCCTTTACTTCTGCAGCATAAAAGCAAATGAAGGTAAGAAAATCTCCTGGTACGAAAGATCTGAGTAAGAATTCTCTAGAATAAACAAGGTCCCCACAGATAGCTGAAGGAAAGAGGAAGCAGTCCAGTCTGGCACCCGGTACTCTTTGGGCAAACAGAAAGGGAGGCAGAGCAGGACTGCAGTCTTGCTCTCTTCTCCTAGAAAACGGTTAAGTTTTGTGGCATGGTCCATTGTCCAAGAGTGTAAGAAAAGAAGGGAGTTGGCCGTTCAGATAGCTAAAATGCAGTTTCATTTGACCAAAAACCCAGGATTATCTGCACAGTCTCTGCAGTGCCAGGAGCATGCAGACGAGAGACCCTGAGAGCAGGGAGTGGCCGAGCCGGGCTGCGGAAGAGTCTACTTCTCTCCGGTCGGGGTCCACGGCGGGGGCCTCTGTGGTGACAAACTCAAACTCCGTGGGACACACGTCATCCATGCACCCGCTGCCGCTCCCCGAGCCGCTGGATTCGTCGCCTGGTGTGGGCAGATTGAAAAAGAAAGTTAGACCACGCTTGGTAGGCGTAGGGGCACACGCTAGATTTGGGCCAGGGGGCGGAAGGGGGACCCCCTCCCCCCACCTCCAAGGGGTTTGTTTGTAGCAGGTAAGTTTGTGATTGGCAGGGAGACTGCATGGAAATAGATGTACGAGACATGGTGTTGACTGATATCCAGTTACCCAACTTAAGAAATGTATGAATCCTAGACCCGAGAAGAGGCCACATCTACCATGCTGGCATTCGAAAGGTATTTCTTATTCTGGCTGATGTTTAAATTGCTTTAAGAAATCCCAGGCTTTGCTTTTTTTGGACCTCAGCGCCATTGTTCTCAGCAGATATCATGCTCTTATAAAGGGTTGTGAAATGAAGTTTTAAAGTAACACGTTGGAGAGGAAAACAAACACAGCTAAGTAGGCAATCTGAGGAACAGCAGCATGTGGTTGTGAAAGGCACATGTTCTTACGACTTTTGGCTACTGGATTCCACCTTCATTCTCCCCTAAGAGCAAGGATGAACTCCATGTCAGCCAATCTCTCCCCCTGAACCAGGGGCTGACATCTACAGCTGGCTGCTTGTAGGTGTGTGGCCCATAACCCAAGGATGGTTTTTATATTTTCAAGTGTTTGAAAAAACTCAAATGAGGAATGATATGTTGTGACATGTAAATAGGGTGTGTGTGAACTCTAAATCTCAGTGTCCATGTATGAGGTGATATTGGAACATAGCCACCCTAGGGGCGCCTGGGTGGCTCAGTTGGTTAAGTGTCCAACTTTAGCTCAGGTCATGATCTCACGGTTCGTGGTTTCGAGCCCCGCTGTCGTGCTGACAGCTAGCTCAGAGCCTGGAGCCTGTTTCAGATTCTGTGTCTCCCTCTCTCTCTGACACTCCCCTGCTCACGCTCTCTCTCTCTCTCTCTCTCTCTCAGAAATAAATAAAATATTTAAAAAAAAGGAACATAGCCACCCCCGTTCACTTATGCACTAATTCTACATTCACGTATGGCCCTCAAAGCTGAACGTATTTCACAACTGGCTCTTTCCAGAAAAGGTTTGCCATTTCCTGCTTGAAACTAACACTCGAGTGCCCACTGCATATGTCATCTTAGCGTGACATCTTCCCCACCTGTGCAACATGCCTTCTGGGCCTGCTCTATTCCCACTTCTCACCGGTTGGTTCCTTCTTGTTTCACAAACCCTGTGTCTCAGAACTGGGTCCCAGTCCAGTCTCCATTAATTACTAGCTGTGTGAAAGTACTTATCACCATTTGCAATTGTATCACTATCTTGCTTTCTTTCTTGTGCCCTCTATGAGAATGCACACTTTTTGAGGGTACAGACTGTGTGTGTTGTACAGGGTTCACTTCTGTCTCCCCGTTGCCTTTAATGGCCCCTGGCAGACAGCAGGTGCACAAGACATACTTGTTGAATAATTAAATGTGCCTTGGGAAGTATCTTCAGTTTCTATGGTCCTCAGCTCAACAGATACAGACAGTAACATTTATGTCACAGAATTTGTGTGAAGACACCCTGATAAAATGTGGGAGGGCACCAAACCCAGTGCTTGCAAAGATGCCTACAGCGAGGAGGACCTAGGTTTTAACCTGCCATTTTTTATTGAAGTGAACTAGGGCAAGCCAATTAGCTTCTCATTCCTCACCTGGAAAAAGGAGCATATTCATTATCTATTTCACAGAATCATTAGGGGGTATACGTGAGCTAATGTTCCTGGGAGGACTCAAGACACTGGAAACCTGGTAATGACATTGACTCTTTCCCCAGCTTGCTCAAAGATTCATTCAATAGACCTAAATTCCTCCCTGTTGGCCTGGAACAGGAAGGGATTGAGCTGCTCCTGCAATACTGGCACCATGTTGGCTGCAAGATGCTACATTGAGTAAAATCAAAGTGATGCAGGCACCATTCTAATGTCCCCCTGGATAAGCACGGCACAACTCAGCACAAGTTTTGTTTTGTTTTTTAAATGGGACATCTAAATACCAGGTAAGGTCACTTGACTACACTATACCAGGTTCTTAATATTTTCTAGGATTTATCTTGTGGCCTTTACGAGGGGGGAAAATGCCCATTAATTAAATTCAGAGATATCAGAACTGCTAAGGGAATTGCTCTTAACACTGGTATTATGAACAAGAAGTAGTATAACCTTTACAAAGATATTATTAAAGTGATTTAGAATATTAAAACGTGACAAGCAAATAATGACAGGAGATTCCAGCTGAGAGAAATAATGGCCCTGTCTCTTTCTGAAAAGGAATCAGAAATGCAGGAATTTAAGGGGTGAGGTTTTAAAATGCAAAAAGCGGTAAGGGCGATGATGCCCATAAGATGTGATAAAGGTTTATATAACAGGCACTATCCTAAAATTGGGGGCCAAATATAGGGTTTGGGTTAGAGCTAAGTGAGGCTCTGAACTGTTGCTAATTTTTAGTTTCTTTCAATGGGAAGTGGGGCACAAGCTCTCCTCAGACACACTCCCTACGCTTTGGAGATTGACATGGACGTAACTTCTTCAGGACAGAGAGGAGACAGAAGCAAGGCCAGCCTCAAATAATTCTTCCATTCTCTTGAATTATTTATTCCTATAGTCATTCTCCAGATAATAAAGCATTTCATGAGATAGAGGAGATAACAGATGCATTCAGAGGCGTGAAGCTGAGGAATGAGCAAGGGAGAAGCAGCCAGGGCTAAAAACCTTGTAGAAGGTTCTCTTCTGAAGAGCAAAGAAGGGGTTTAGTGAAGAAGAAGAGAAATATTAGGAGGACTCTCAGGGGTTTTACAGCAAGAAAGTCCAGTAGGCTGGTCATTATGCTGCATTTAGAAAATTAATTTTTGAGTTATTTAAAATGGAAGAAAGTGCTAAAAATTTTCTGCGGAGGACAACTCCATAGGATGATGGCTAAGTCTTAGATGACTTAACGTCTTCCATCTGTAACTTGCTTCTTTCTATCCCATTAATTCAAGCACGTAACCATCATCTTTTGCTTCAGTGACCAAATTAGAGTCACTGGCGACTCCACCGCTTATGTTCTGTTCTAGAAATCTTTGCCTAAGAACTCTCTGTAAGGACACATATCTTTTAAAAAAAACCCCAAAACAATAGCCCCCCCCCAATTTGTATAGTTATGCTTTTTAAAATCTTACACGAACCCCAAATTTCACTTAATGTTCACTTACTACTCTTTCCAATCACTTCTGACATTTTGTGATAGCGAATAAACTAGTCATGTGTAATACTGCACCAGCATTTCATTATTTCTCTCAATATTTCACATACAAATGTCCATGCTTCATGTATGCGAGTCTCCGGACAGAGAGCAGCTGAAGCAATGGCACATGAGATATAATCTCAGCTTCTTTACGGGTGGCTGCAAATGAAGTTCCTGATGACCCGACCTGAGACTCAAGAAATGATTTGTTCAAGACCCTAGTCAGTAAGTGGTAAAACAGGGATTCCAGTCCAGCTTTGTCTGAGCAATCTTCAGGACATTCTTTTGGTGGCTGGGGGAGTGGACAGGAGTCTGGGGTAGGGATGTAAATGATGATGAGGGAAGGAGAGGATAAAAACATTACTTTGTTGCTTTATCATTAATGGATCAGCTGATAGATGAGACTCAATTTTAGCTTGGGTAGCGCTAAATGCAAGCCAGCACAACCAATCCTTAAGGCCAGTTATGATTTCAGTAGTATCCTAAGCTCCGTGGATCAGAGCTCTCTGTCCAAAGGGCCATAAAGAGCTCTGCAGATTGGCATAAGATTAAAGGTGCATATTGCTTTTGAAGGAAAACTGTAGTATAATCTAGAACCTATTTTTCACTACGGAGGCTACTGGCAAAGACTTCCTTACTCGTGTCCTGGAAGTTGACATCATTGCCATTGTATGCGTTCTTTAGTTTGTTGGTCATCACACGTAGAGCCATGATCTGCTGCCTGATGAAAGTGTCGGGCCGTGTGATGTCCACGTCCACTTCAGGGTTGTTAATCTGGTTGGTCAGCCCGTCATTCATGATCTCAGGCAAGTATCTGCAGAGTCAACAGGAAGACAACAGATGAACGTGAGGCATGAGGAACTTTGGTACCAGATTGTGCTGTGCTGTCTCTGACCCTGGGCCAGAACATTGACAACAGTGGAGTTCTGCTTCTGCAAAAAAACTCAAAAAGTGAAAACAAGGAGAAATCTTTCTCAGAGGGAGATATGGCTTAAAAAATGGTAGCAGGGTGGTTTTTAAAATGATACTGAATACGTAGGGAGGCTTGTTCAGCTGTGGGCTTACGGAAGTTGTTTCTTAAAATTAACTACATCCCTCCCTCCATCCCAAATGGTAGATACTTAAGTCAAGGGCTTGCGAGCTCCCTCAGCTCTCTGGTTAATTTTGCTAAGAACCGAACTTGTAAATTACATGTGCTCTTTGGTTCTCTTGTACGAGGATGCTCTTTCTCAACTGAAGAGTCATAACCTCAGACTCTAATCAGAAGGTACTTCTGGATATAAAAAAACCATCTTTGGAAAGTTTGAGGCATAACCAGTCAGCACTGGAATGTTTGAAGTGTCCATCAGGGTTTTTATTTTGTAATCGAACCTTGGATCTAATATTTGATATTGGGCCAAAGAGAAGGGTAAAATCTAATGGTTCTTTAATTCTCATACTGGTAGTAAAAGGGCATATTCCTTTTACTTGCACTAAAAATTTTACACTGTCAATCCTTTGATGTCGACCGCCCACGCTGCCTCTGCGCGTTTAGACCAGCCGAGACTAAAGATCTCAGAAAAGTGCTTGGAGCCCTCTCTGACTCCTCACTCTTTCTGACCTGCCTGTTTGCAGGCCTCCCTCCTCCTCTTCTCTGAGTGCTCCCTGCACCTGCTTCTTCTGTCTCATTTACTGTGTCTCTCCTCAAGTGCAGATGGTACAAGGGCCTCAAACTGACTTCTCTGCCCGCCTCTTCTCTTTATGAGGCACCTCAGACACGAGGTCTGACTAATCTCCATGAGCTACTGCTTTCAGGTCAATCTTCTGTTTAAAAACTTTTGGTGATCGTAGCTGAGCACTCACTGTCAGGCACTGTGCTAAGCCCTTCACATGTATTTTTAAATTTGGCCCCCGAGCAAATCTAAGAGGTAGGTGCTATTTTATCCCTGTGGTGCAAGAGAGGAAACAGGCCTAGTGAAGATGAGTAGTTGTGCAAAGCCACAGAGTTAACGGACGGGAAAGCTGCGCGGGAAGCCCACTAGGGCTAGTTTCAGAGTCCACGTGTCCAGACAGTGCACCAGGCTGCCTGGGTGATCACAAATGACAGTCCACAGTTTATAGCTTAGCCATCAAAGCCCATGTCCGTCCCGTCTCTACTTTCTTATGCTGCAACACTCCTTTCAATAATCCTGGCCGTACAGAATCTATGCCTGTAGACATCTTATATCTGCCCGCCCCACTGGGTTTCCTTGCCTGCGAGGCACTTTCTAATTTAAGTCCCAAATATCTGTAAAGACCCAGGTCAATCTTTGTGCTCTCTTTAAGATATTTTCCAGCTTTCAGAGACCTTCTCATCCTTCTGGAGGGCTGCCAGGTTCGTCTGGGCGTTCTGTGCACTGCACAAAGTCACCTGCTCTGGGAGGGAGTTGGGCTGAAAGCCAGCCTGAATTCTGTGCCCACAAAACTAAGCACCTGCAGGGTGCCATTCACCAAAGGGACACGCTTTTCTTTTGGGGAATTGTTTTATTTTTGAACATTTCAATGCACACCAAAGCACAGACAGCAGTATAATGAACCCTCAGGTACCCATCTGGGGGCCTTTCTCTAATTCTTACAATGGTGCTATATTTGTCTGTGTCCTGGTAAGAAACAGACAGCACACTCAAAGAGGAAACGAAGAGAGTTTGAAGAAGAGGCAACTTACAAACGTGGGAACATGGAAACCAGTGTTGGGTGGCAAAGGACCCAAGGCCTCTAGCATCAGGAGGGCCCCAGGGGGGACGAACTGCCACCAGAATGAGCAAGAACTGAAATCACAGGCGGCAACCAAATGACACAGCACTTGCCAAACCGAGGCCCGTCAGGGAAGGAGCCCGGGACCGACGCCCTGACCTCTCTAGTCCCTCCTTCTGACCTCCACGTGCCGCCTCCCATCAGCGGAAGCCAACTGGAAGCCAGTGGGCAAGGGCACCCAGGTGATGTGGTCTGTAGAGATCCTCGTTCAGGGCACCGAGCAAGATGGAGAGATGAGGAGTAGATCTCAGGGGAATCGGCACATCCAGGACAGGGGCGCGTTGGCTGGGAGCACCCTGCCTCACGTCATTCCTGCACTGCCTCCACGTGGTGGCCTGGAAGCTGAGAAAATGCCCATTCTTCTGTTTTGTCCTTCCTACTTACGTATCCCCGCACGATATACATCTCCTTAAAATTCTTCCCCTTCCTGCAGGTCATTTTCCAAGTTCTGGAAACCAAAGGCTCTCTATCCATCAGCCTCCAAAAGAAGAAATAGAAACACACAGGGAGATTTTCACATTTAAGTCATTTTTCAGTTATTGAAATCTCATGCATGATGTATTTGTGTATGAATTGGTTTATCCATTTTAAATCAGAAGTCCTCCGAATGAGCTCCATGTCTTCAGCCGTATTTTGAACAAAATCGACTTCACAATGTTCACCATGTAATGAATAATAAAACACACAGAGCGCATTGCAAATTCTTTTCCGCAAAGCTTCACAGTATTTACTGCCCTAAAAAATGCCCTAATTGAAAATTTTAAAAGCTGTGGAACCATCTCTCTTTATTTCTGCAGCAAGGCATAACTTCTGTGTTGTCTTTCACTGTATCTGGTGTATTAATCAGTTCTTGTTAGATTCTGGTCTTGACTCCTAAAATATGACACTGGGTTGACTATTACTGACATCAGGTATGTGTCCCGGGCTCCACGGGCTCTACTTAATTACCAAAGCCCATCGGAATGGACGATAGGCAGTGCAGGCTGGCTGGCTAGCTGGCTATCTCTGCTGACGTGGGAGTTGAGAGGGGCCGAAAGGCGACCGGCCGTTCTGATGCTGCCCCTCGACATTTTGGACAAGGCTGCCTACCGCAGCACCTCTGCTGAGTCAGAGGAGGGTTGTGTTTCTTTCAGATGCTGCGCGTGCCGCACGGCCAGGCGGGCGAGACTCATTTATCAGAAGCTGACTGCGATAGCTTACAGGGGAGGGGTCCCCCCCCCGGGAGTCAGAGCGCCCAGGAACAGTAAGCGACTGCCAAATAAACCCGGCCTCTAACCGTGCCTGCTGATGCTCAGCCACTTGCAATAAAAACAAGTAACAATGCCCCCGTGGCCTCAAGAACCTTTTCTCCTTTCGATGTACTCAGAGGGTAACGTCAGAGACAATGTGGAAACTTAAACAGAAGGCACAGTCGAAAAAGAAAACGGTCACTGTGTCGCTCCAGAGGCACACTCCAAGGCCGAAGCTACGGATGTCCAGAGCGCAACTTGAGGGATCTAGAGAAGCCCGGGATGCAGGTTTAATCTCTTTGTAAAACGCTCATAGCCTGAAGAAAGGGATGCATCTTTGAATCCATACTATTCTTCGCTTTGCTAGATTTTGCACCAGCTTCCTGGTGTATGACGGCATTCTAGTTCTGCTCCATTCCCGGTTTGGGAGACGTGGAAAGGAAGCGGGATCTTGGTACAGGCAACCCAGGTTCCGAGGCTGGATGCCTGTTTCCCGGGGGCAGAGAACCCGGAATGAGGGCACATCAGAGGGTTGAACAGGGTGTCGTTGTTTGTCATGCTTCATGCTGGGTGTGGCCAGCAGGTGGCATCCGAGAACAGCCAAGCCGAGCTCCCCGGTTCTGGGTTACCTTCTAGTTTGCAGGAGCACGTATAGGAACTAGATTGGCAGTAGTTTTGCAGAATTAGGTCTTTCCCCCCACATCTGTGAGGGTCCAAATGTTTGTGTTCCCCTCAAATTCACATGTTGAAAACCGAATGCCCAAGGTAATGGCTTCAGGAGGCGAGGCCTTCCAGAGGGGATTAGGTCATGAGGGCAGAGCTCATAGAAGAGGCCCCGGGGAGCTAGCTCAGCACTTCCACCCTGTGAGGACACAACGGAAAATCTGCAACCCACAAGAGGGCTCTCACCCGACCATGCTAGCGCCCCAACGATCTTGGACTTCGGCCTCCAGAAGTGTGGGAAATAAATTGCTGTTGTTTATAAGCTACCCAGATGTGGCATTTTGTTATAGCAGCTCCATGGGCGAATATCAAATCTAATTTCATATTGTAGATACAGGCTTCCGTGGTTACATCCCCACGTTAGAGCTGATTAGGGTGGAAGAGTCTGGAGGCATTTGGCCAGGTGGGAGGCACTTATACGTTCAACCCTGTGGGTGGCTTCAGGCTCTTTGCTGGGACTCTCACTGGCAGCGGTGACACTCGCTGTCACCCTCTGTCACCTGACATCCCCAAAAGTTCCCAGTGGCCAGCCGCAGTGCCTGTCATTGTCACCATTCAAAATCACTCCTTTCTGTTGATATATGGATGTGCTCGTCAGGACAGACATGTTAACCTACCTGTATGTGTGTTTCTCATCACCTCATTAATGTGGATGGTTGTTCTGGGGGAAGGAGCTGCACCGTGGGGAAGGGACACACAGTTCCCATGACTTGATGGGATCTGAAAGCCAGTGAGAGTCTGAGATGTGAGGCGCCTGCAAGGAAGGTTAGCTTGGTGGTGCCCCGTGGGGCTGGGAGGAGCCCGAGTGGAAGGCTTGGCAGCAACAGGGAGACTGGGGTCCGTAGGTGCTGGCCTGGGCTTGTTTTAAGGTGGCAGATGCTTCTTCCTCCTGCTCCTGATGCAAGGCACACCGGACAGAGAAAGGCAAAAGCGGGGGCACCTGGGTGGCTCAGTCGGTGATGCGTCTGGCTTCAGCTCAGGTCATGATCTCGTGGTTCACAAATTCGATCCCCGCATCAGGCTCTGTGCTGACAGCTGGGAGCTCAGAGCCTGGAGCCTGCCTCTGATTCTGTGTCTCCCTCTCTCTGCCCCTTTCTCACTCATACTCTGTCTCTCTCAAAAATAAATAAAACATTAAAAAAATGTAAAAAGAAGAAAGGTAAAAGTGGATTCAGTCCTGCTTGTCACAATTGAGCTGCATTCAGTACCTGTCTCTCCAGCAAGTTCTAATTCTAGGCTACATATTCATTCATCCCCATGGGTTTAAGAGTTTTATGAAGTCGTAGAATATTAATACAGGTCCCAAATTCCTTATCTGCAAAAGATTTCTGAAGTTTTTTCTTTCTTTCCTGCAATCCCCTTATCATACTTAGCCCACTTATCCCGCTTAGTGGGAATAGTAATACATCTTGCTGCAGAAATTTAATGTGTTTGATTGCAAGTTGCAGCCTACGGTATATGCACTCTGATGATTTTTTTTTAAACTCTAAAAAATTTTTGAATTCAGAAACACATATGGTCCCAAGGATCTCAGAGAAGGGACTGTGAACCTGTGGTACCCATAACTTCTTTCAGAGGCTTTCTTCAAATCTAAGTTTTAAACTTCACATCCATTTGGGATGGCTATTATTTTAAAACAAAACAAAACAAAACAAAACAGAAAATAACAAGCGTTGGTGAGAATGTAGAGTGGAGTGCAAGCTTTCGATTGTCCAGATCTCCATTTTAAAGACATGCATCTTGGGGCGCCTGGGTGGCTCAGTGGGTTAAGCGGCCAACTTCGGCTCAGGTCGTGATCTTGCAGTTCGTGAGTTCAAGCCCACATCAGGTTCTGGGCTGACAGCTCAGAGCCTGAAGTCTGCTTCAGATTCTGTGCCTCCTCTCTCTCTGCCCTCCCTTACTCACACTCTGTCTCTCTCTCTCTCTCAAAAATAAATAAATATTTAAAAAAATTTTAAAGACACGCATCTTGAGTCAACATATCGGCAGCTGTAGGACACAGCCATTAGCAAAATCAGATCAGGAACGAGGCTGCTCTCACACATGAAGGCTCCCTTTCAGAAAGCCCTCGAAAATCTGGAGAACTCACTGCTTGAGTCCCATGCCCTAATTCCCACACACAGGTTTTACATCAGTAAATGAGCCAATCAACAGTGAGCCTGAGAAACTCCAGGCACCCCACACTTGGATCCAAATAAACGTAAAGGTCGTCCCTGTTCCCCTTGACCTTGCTGTGTAACCCTTGAGCATGCCATGCACTCTCCAGGTCTTGGAAGTAATACATCTTGTACCTCAAAGTTCCCTGATGGTATCTTGCTGAAGCACATCCTAAAATCAGATTAAGAACCACAGAGCTGACCCAGCCATAAATAGGGGCGCTGGTTGGGGGAGGGTCTATGGAGCCTGCTGTGAGCGATGCGTGACGAGGCCAGCAGAGCTGGCATTCCTGTCCAGGGTTGTTGCCATGCCTAGGCTTGGGAACATGGAGAAATTGGAACTCTTGTGCTTGGTATAGGGAATGCAAAATGGTGCAGTGCTTTGGAAAACAGTATGGCGGTTCTTCAAATCATTAAACTTAGACTTACCATATGGTTTAGAGATTCCACCTCTGGAATTATCAATCCAAAAGAATTGAAAGCAAGTACTGGAACAGATATCTGTACACCTCTGTTCACAGCAGCATTATTTACAATAGCCAAAAGATGGATGCCACCCCCATGGGCATCGATGAATGCATGGGTACACCAGTGTGGGATGAACGTACAATCCACTCCACCTTAAAAAGGAAGGAAATCCTGACGTGCTACAGCATGGGTGTGCCTTAAAGACATGCGAGGTGAGATAATCCAGACACAAAAAAGACAGCTCTTATGCAATCCCATTTATATGTGGTAATTAGAGTCGTCGAGTTCATAGAGACAGAAAATAGAATGGTGGTTGCCAGGAGCTGGGGAGAGGGAAGGTGGGGACCTAGTCTTTAATGGATTCAGGGTTACAGTTTAGGAAGATGACAAAGTCCTATGGGTGGTTGGTATTGATGGTGTACGATGATATGAATGTATTTAATGCCCCTGAACTGTACATTTAAAGGTAGTAAAAATGTTACATTCTATGTTATGTATGTCTTACTACAATTTTTTAAAAATCTCGGTTACAAGTATAACTTTTCTGAAGTTCTGGATAGAGATTACCTTTTCTCTTTCTGGTATTTTTTCTTTCTTTTTTTTTTTTTTTTGATTGGAAAGTGGAATTACTCAAAGCCTCATGTGACTTTATGATTGGAGTGGATTCATACCTTCTTGAAGGCTGCTAAGCCAGGGTTGTCTGTGGCATTAGGTACTTCAATGGGATGTGACCCTGAAATATGGTCAAAGGTGCAGAGACTGACCTAGGACCTGAGATTCTCTGAGACCCAGCAGCATGATCATGGGCAAGGGACCTAGCTACTTTATATGATTATATATTTCATATTATATGAATAATACTTACCTTATTTGTCCCATAAGCTGTCATATTGAACTAAGGTGTATGAAGCTGCTTAAGAAGTATCTAACATACGACTCAATTCTCCTGCATTCTTATGAAACTTAAGCTGTTAACATGAGTCCTCACATGCCTACCTTATTTCACAGGAGGGTCTGAGGGCAGGAGAATTTGGACTCTTATGTTTGTTTATTTATTTATTTATTTTGGTAATCTCTCCATCCAGTGTGGAGCTCGAACCCACAACTCCAAGATCAAGAGTCACATGCTCTTCCGACTAAGCCAACCAGGCACCCTCAGAATTTGTTTAAAGCCTGGACTCCTGTACAGAAGAATGATTTCTCATGGCTTTCCTCCAGCTGGAGAATGCATGGCATGAAATTGTTTGGGGACCCTTGAAGGACACACAGCTCATTGATTGCTGCACTGGTAAAAGCTAAAGTCTTGGACTTGGCCTCTTTGCTCACTGACAGGATTCCTCCTTATCCATTCTTTCTTCGCGGAACCAGAGGCAGCAGACCACAGCGTGCGCAGGACAACAGGCCCTCACGCCAGCTCTCAGGGCTGCTGAGCTGCTGACAGCAACATGCTTCTTTCCTTCTATTTGAAGCTGCAGTTTTTACCACTTGCGGGAGGTGCATGCAGTGTCCTTTTCCCCAGCACATTCAGGGGGTCTGCCCTCCTGAGTGTGCACAGAAGGGAAGTGCGCGCTCAGGAATGCTGGGTTTGACAGTTTCCTTCTCTTCCCAGACCGACTTCGCAGCTCCCTGACGTGGCTGGCTGGCTGGCTATACACCAGATATTTCACGGTTCTTTCAAAGGCAGCTGGAGTGCTTTGGGACATGTTCTAAAATCAGACTAAAACAATGTTGTCCTGCCAGATCTGCTAAGTCACTGTCTTTGACAGATTTCTCATCACCATGCATCATCTCATCCCTCTTGCATCTGCTCAATGTACCCAGTCATGACTTGCTATTTTCTTTGCTTAGTCAGTCCACTCGGTGGCTGGTGAGAGTTGACGGATCTATTACCTAGATTTTTCGACTTTTCTTATTTCTTACAATTTACTGTATTTACCTCCGGGCCTGAAGAAAGATCTCCTTGGGGACCCAGTTATTTCTGCGAGGACGAGGTGCCTTAACAGCACAGGCTCCCCGCAAACGCTCTGTTTCCGACCCATCGAAACAATCCTCATCCTCAGCCCGGATCTTGTTTGCCTCCTTCCCGAAGGCGCTTTGAAGAACGCTAGACAGTGACGGCTAGACGCCGGGTTACAAGGAGGGGCAGCAGGAAGCTGCTTGTCAGTTGTAATGGTTGGGGGGCGGGGAGGAGGGAGGAACCCGGAAATGACTGCAGAAACCCTGGCGACTCTGAAACAACACGGGTCCCGTCATGAAATCCACATGCTGCCGAGGTTTGCCTCACGGGCTTTCCTTGCGTTCTTCTGGCTCCTCCCCCCATCTCCCATGCTGATCTTTCCTTCTTCACTCCTATGGCTTTAGAAAATGGATCCCCATGAAGGGAAAACGATCCTTAAGGAAGATACAGAGGACGTCATCTGACATAGCTATGGCCTCAAAAAGTAAGAATCGGCTTCTGTAGGAGCCAACAGGTAAGAGCCTATAGGAACACCGCAGGGGTTTTATTTTTTCTGTGGCTGCCACCTGGAAAGTTCCAGCCTGCCTATGCTAACCATATACAAGTTTTATCTCCTTCGGAGCCCATTCTTTCCCGACTCCATCTTGTCATTCTCCTCTCCAGCGCCTATGCCCATAGCTCGCCCGGGCCACCTGCCTGCCCCCAGTGCCCTTCTCAGGGGTGACAGATGACCACACTTGTCCTCTCAGGGTCTCTGGGTCCATGTCGGGAGCTTTAGGAGGCCTAGATTTGTAACCTGCACAACATCACTTTGATTGTTCCCTGGTGGACTTCTAGATTATTATCGATTTTCCTCCCTTACTTACTAGCTTCCTTTCAATTCCTGTTTGTCTGAGTTGACTCCGTGTTGCTGCGTCTTCTCTCATTTCTCTCTAAGAATTCGCTTAGGTAGGTGGGGAATGGAAGGAGAAGTTACATTTGCACCTTTGCTTTCCTGCAGATCACTGACGATGCCTCCGAGGCAGCTGTTCTCATCGCTGAGAATTCTGAGGAAACTTCTTTGCTGGCTGTTCTAATAAAGCAGGGTGTGAATCTGAGTACTCACTGCTGTAGACAGAATGCTTGTGTCCCCCACCAACTCCCAAAGTGATGCTGTTAGGAGGTGGGGGCTTTGGGGGGGTGATTTAGTTTAGGTGAGGGTGAAGGTAGTAGAGCCTCCATGATGGGATCAGTGTCCGAAGAAGAAGAAGAAGAAGAAGAAGAAGAAGAAGAAGAAGAAGAAGAAGAAACTGGAACCCTCTTTCTGCTGTTTGAGGGCAGAGAGAGAAAGCAGCTCTCTATTAGCCAGGAAGAGAGCTCTCACGGTGACCCAACTCTGCTGGCAGCCTGGTCCTGGATGGAGAGCCTCCGGACCATGAGAAATAAGTTTCTGTGTAAGCCACCCAGTCCATGGTGTGTCTGTTGTAGCAGCATGAATGGAGGCATTAATTGACTCAAGTACCGGCCAGGGAATCAAAGTACCCATCCTTAGCCCACAGGGCATTTCATTTGAGACCAGGGCTTTGCGTGGACAATACCCTGCATTGTGAAGGCTGTACAGAATCTCCAACTTAAGATTCTCTTCGATGCACAGGTTAAGCCTAAGCTATTCATTGTCCAGATGACTTCAACCCGGCCTGTGTTCCTGTTATCTTTAGTGACTGACGTTACAACTGAGCCACGTGACCTCCTTGGCCCAGTTGCTGTCGTTGTTTTTAATATAAGGAAAGCCCCATTAAAGGAAACGTCAGGGGTATGCGTGGAGGCAAAGAGAAAACAACAAATCGTAACATGCTCCCCGAGGTGTGTGTGTGAACTGAAAAAGGGAATATATCTTACATGTTAATAGGAGCTTAAAGTAGGGCTGCCAGATACAACAGGATTGCCAGTTAAATCTGAATTTCAGATAAGCAATGAATCCTTTTTTTAGTATAAGGGTGTTCCATTTGGTGTCTAGTGTTATGTGCTAAATCTGGCAACTCTGTCGTAGAGTCTTACTGCTCAAAGCGTAGTCCCTGAATCAGCAACATGGCGTCGCCGGGAAGCTTGTTAGAAATGCAGGATGTCGGGTCCCACCCCACACTTACTGAGTCAGAAGCTGCATTTTCCACAAGCTCCCCAAGAATTTAGCCTGCACAGCAACATTTGAGAAGAATTGCTTTAGGATTTACAACCTGGTCACATTGGTCTTTAAATTGTGTGGACAGGTCGGCAAGGGAAAAGGAAGTAGAGAAGAGTCTACTCTTGATGACCCGTCTTTCTGACAGAATGGAGATTTAAATGCTAACGGGATGTTGGCACACCCGCAGTTTCCTCCTCTCGAAGGGCACAAGCTCTTCCCACTAGCTCACCTCCTGTTTCCAGGCCTGCTTAGCTACTGAAGCAGAGTGAGATCTGCCGGCAACGGCTAAGGGTGGGAGCAGGAAGATGAAGGGGTGTTCTTTTTCTAGAGGAGCCGCCGCTTCCAGACGCTTGGCCATTATCTCGATACAGCAGATTCACCCCCCGGCTGCCATAGTGGCCACATCTCTGTGTATCCTACTCTTTCTATTCAAAGTCATCATCAGTGTCAACAGGTGCCATTCATTTAGTAACGGCTATTCGGGAAAATAGGATACACTGGAGGAAATGGACATCTCCATGGTAGTTGTCATTTTTATTTGAGAAATGTTAACATGTGAAATAGTCATGCTCCTGAATCAAGGAAGTATAGGACAGAGCTGTGGAGCAGTGTTCAAAAATAGCCAGGAGAAATATGGGTATTGGAAGTTCAAGGCAGATCAAATACTTAGGATGAGAGGGCTAAGGACCTGGGTATGCCAGGAAGAATGTGGCTACAGGAGTCTGATGGATAAAGCATAAAGGGTAGCTCAGTCAGTTGAACATCCAACTTTAGCTCTGGTCATGATCTCATGGTTCATGAGTTCGAGTCCCAATTGAGCTCTCTGCTGTCAGCACAGAGCTTGCTTCAGATCCTCTGTCTCCTTCTCTCTCTGCCCCTCTCCCGTTTGTGTTCTCACTCTCTCTCTCTCAAAAATAAACTAAAAACATTAAAAACATTTTTTTAAAGCATAAAGAGAGGAAGAAATGTCTGGGTTGCCCATGATCTCATCAAATAGGCTTGAGTTAGGAGCTCCAGACCATTACCAGCTCTATCAAGGCTGATTGGCATCTCTGTCCCATAATCAATTAACACTTGCTGATAGTTTTTTTTTTTTCTTTAAATCAAGGTTCTGGTTCTTTAATAAGAATAACCCACCCTTCCTTCCTTCCTTCCTTCCTTCCTTCCTTCCTTCCTTCCTTCCTTCCTTCCTTCCTTCTTCTTCCTTCCTTCCTTTCTTTCTCTCCTTCTTTCTTTCTCAAACGTCCTAAACTGTTAAGAAGCCCTATCATCTGAAAATCCATACTTCAAATGTAGGGAAAAATAGTTATTATCTACATTACAAGTGGATTTTTCAACTTACAAAATAGTTCAGTGGAATTAAAAAAAATCTCTCATATGTTCCTAGATCAATTAATATTTGGGTGAGAATGAGAACAAAGCTTCAATTAAATGTAACTCAACAAGTCTTTATGGGTTATCTACTTACTATGCTATTAAATATAAAGTTATTAGGATTTCATTGCAGTGGGAGAATTTTAAAAAGGGAACTAAAAGAAACTATGAAATTTTAATTTTTCAATGAGAATATAATTTGAGTCACAAATATCTGATGGCCTCATTTTTAAGAATAGTGTACTGGGTTAGATTCTGGAATATTCTTGCAAATGATTTTATTGTATTAATTTTCACATTTCCCTTACCTGCATACAGTCCTCTAATGGGATCCCATTGACCTAAGGATAAAATTCAAAACTGGTCCCAAACCACCTGCTTTGGGTGATTCTTCACCTGTGTGGTCCTTTCCCAAAGCTACAGTGCAACAGTATGTATGGCACCTGACATTCCAAAATCCACTGTCCTCTCTCCAGCCACTGTGCTTTTCATTGATTGACAGACATCACTGCTGTCATATAACACTTAATTCACAGAGCCTTGCACAGTGCCTGGGCAGGAGTGCTTAATAACATTGCTGCTGGACTGAAGAAATGAATGAATGAATGTAGATCCACTAAATCCTTTATAGAGCTAAGGACCTGTTTCATTTGTTCTCCTAACCTGGGGAGGCCGGGTGGGGGGTGGGGTGGGGAGAAGAAACAATATTTGGCAGTCATTTGTTTTAGAGGCAGGATATTGACGCGAAAAGAATACTGGGCTTGGATTTGGGAGATTTCCAGCTTTTACCCTTGCTAGTTGTGCAACCTTAGCCTAATTGTTTACCCTTCTGCATTCCTGATCTACACGAGAAATTCAGCTGAACCCGCTCTCCCCTGGCTCTAACTTTAATGGTCATCACTGTCCCCATTCATTTTCTTGATGGAGTGTACATCATCACTCCATGTGATGGTCCCCTCCCAAAACCCCACCTGAAGCAGTTCTTTGTGTTTCCTTTTGTGGATGCACTAATAGCCAGCAACCTGTGTAACCATGGGAATGTAGTTGAAAATACAGCCTCCATTTCAGCCAAGGCTGAAAGGTAAACACAGATGGGTAACAGAGCAGTTCAGGAAATCAACCACTTTATTCATTAGGCCATCTGGTCATCCTTTAAAGCGTCTTTCTGTACAATCATTAGGAAAAGACACATTAGAAACTGTTCAATTTCACAGCTGAATTTTGCCGGCCAAAGGTCTCCTTCCTACAGGGCTGAGCGCTGGTAAATTACTAAAGCATTTTCGAGGGGTATGTTGTTAATATCAAAATACCTGTCTCCCCTCATGATCTAAAATTTGGATACTGATATTATTGGAACAACTTGAAATGATTACTGCTCTTTCTATAGCTGTCTTGTTTTTGCCTTGCTAAGCTCTCCCTAGTATGGCTAATAATATCATTACCAATAGATGCTAAAAGAATTCCACTCAGCAGTGTGAGAAATAACACCTAATGAGCACCTCACTTGCACCCCTGCTTTCCTCCTGCAGATGCTTCTGAACTTAATATCCCTGTACTTTCCTGTTTCCTTTTGATCACAGCTGCTTCATATGCTTGAAAACACCCACGAAGGCGCAGAACAGACCCCCGTCTTAACTTCTCCACCTGCTGGTCAATCCCCAAAGATTCCCTGAGTCCAATTTACCAGCTGCTCTGCCCACCTGCATCCCCGCTGAGGCGTGCTCGGGCAGCCTCCTCTCCTGGTGGCCTGCCCTGCTTGCCAATTCCCAGCCAGTTCCCCTGTCCAACTCCTCCACCCTGTGAAAACTCAGGCCAACCCCATTTCTGGGCTGAATTAAGGAATTCAGAAATTCTGTATCAAGGGGCGGCAGCACTGGGCAGCCAAGCAGCAGGGTGGGAACGGAGCCATCTCTCATCAGGAGGTCCCGGCGGGACTTTTCGAGGCAGGGAACCTCTGAGGACACCTTCCTGGTTGTCCTTTGGTCATTTTCTTTTTCCCTTTCCCTTCCAGTGAGCACATCAAAAACTGTTTTGCTCCAACAGTGAGAGACATTACAGTTGGACTCTCACTTCCTGTTTAACTTGTGATGGAAAAAACAGAAAGCCATTCAAATTTAACTGCGGATAAAAATAGCTCCGCTGTCTTAAAGTCATTAAGTGAACATAAAAGGCTCTTTGTGATTTCAGGATATCTGGAACCTGGCATCTGTCACCCTTCCTCCGTCCTCGTCCAGAGGCGAGGCATTCAGAATAAGGATTCCACGCTTAATGGCACCTTGAGAGTAAGGGTTCCCAGGTGCCCATCAAACCTGTCACTCTCAACAGCTGTCGCTGAGTGACGATGGGTCCCTCCACCCTCCGTCGCGTTTTGCATGAACAGGTCTGCAGAGTCGTGCTAGGGGAGGCGTCCGGGGCTGGACGCACACTGCCCCAGCCCGAGCACAGCGAGCCACCCTCACCTGGCTTTGCTGTGGCCATTCCAGCACTCCTCTTCATTGGACGTGCCCGCCGTCATGCTCTCATCTTTGCAGATGGTGTAGGGCAGCGCCGACCAGACCTTTTTAGAGAGCTTCAGTTTCTCTTTTATGTCTGTGACCTGATCAAGAAAGTAAGGAAAGAGAGTGAATATTCTCCCCAGGCGTTGCCCGTTTCTACACAAAGACACGACACAGGTGAAGGTTAGAGAATCTGTAACAGGACCAGAAGGAAACTCTATCAGTTTTAAGGGAGAGACACCGAGCCGCAGGATTTATTGCCCAGGCCAGCCTCCCTACCTCCTCCCTCAATCTTCGTCTCGCTTCTGGCAGAGAGTTCTCAGGTAAATTGGCTTTTTCTTTTCCATCTTTTCTGTCCTCCCATGCTTTGAATGAAAAACTTACGAAGCATCTCAACTGGCTTCGGGTTCCCCACTGCAAATTCCCTAAACATATTCTTGAGAATTCATTGGCTTGGATGTGAGATAAATGCACTGAAACAATGCACTGAGAGATAAAATGCTTTTCCCAATGGTCTATTTGTTTCTGTAAAAATAAATATTGTCACTAATTCGACTGCTGGTAACCTCTGCTCTGAACCAATTGACAGGTCAATATAGCACACTCTTGGATGGTGAGTAGCAACCCAAACACACTTAAAAATCTCTACAGCAGGAAGAGAAAAGTCATTCCAAATACAGGTGAGTGTAAAATCCACAGGCCTATGGATAGATAGCAGGTAAAAGCTTAGAAACCCCATCTTTACTATTTTCAGGCTCAGGACTGACTTGTCACCTGCAGAAAGGACAGAGACAGGGATTCAGTACCATTCTAGTTCCATAATTAACATCTGGGTTCATGTAGTCACAACCCTGATTTTCTATCCTGCCCATGTGAACACTGGGAAAATCTACGGATGGTTGAAATGCATCCATTATAGGTTGAATCAAGTGCCTCTACATTCATGTGCTGAAGTCCTAACCCTAAGTCCTTCAGAATGTGACCTTGTTTGGACATAGGGTTTTGGGGTTTTTTTTTTTTTTTGGCTTGTTTTGTTTTTGTTTTTACAGAGGCAAGGAAGTTAAAATGAGGTTTTTAGGATGGCCCTAATTCATTATGACTGATATTTTTGTAAAAAGGGAAACTTTGGACACAGATATACATAAAGGTAAGACAATGCAGAGAGAAGTAGGAAGATGCCATCTACCTACAACCAATGAGAGGGACCTGGAAAAGAACCTTTGCTCACAGCCTCAGGAAAATCCAATCCTGACATCTGGGTTTTGGACTTCTAACTTCCAGAGCCAGGAGACAATAAATTACTCTTCTTTAAGCCACCCTGTCTGTGTTATGTGGATACAGTGGCTCCTGCATACCCACACTGCATCGTAGAAGGGACACACTGAGATTTATATATATTTGAGATCGATAGCCTTTGGAAATAAATTATTCTGTTTACTATGGATGGAGTATAGACTTTTGCAAAAAAACTTCCAAAGCTCTTTTGTCAGGTTTAAGAGTGAACACAAAGGAATATAAGATATCTGTCCCAGTCATGTTTCTCAGTAGTTACAGAATTATACGGTCTCCGGCCCTTGCTTATCTGTGATTCCGATGATGACAGAGGCTTCAGTATTGAGAAATGTCTGCTTACCCAGAAAGTGCTAAAGATGGCCAGAATACTGAATCTGAGAACCTGGTACCTACTCTGATGTTACTTTTGTTTTCTAGGATGAAAAGAATTCATAAGCAATGACATTCCAAGAAGTAGCTTACACACAGCCATCATTTAGGATGTCTTGAGACCTGCACTCTGTGATTTCAGCCGTTCATGCTGACTTGGGCCCATGGGCTACCTTGACCTCTGGCTCTCCTTCCAGCCAATCTGACTGGGTAAGGATGTTTAAACTAGAGCCAGTACTTTTCTCTGCCACTTTGGGCACAAGTGTGGGCACAAGTTGTTATTTCTTTTTTATTTTTTTGTTTGAAAGACATGTGGCCATTTCTAACCAGCCATAGGTGGATGCACATCCTGTTTATCTATTATAAAAACCACCCCCCCCCCAGAGGCCAACTAATAAGTGTTGAAAGAATGACAGAAAACTCACCATTCTGCAAGCATCATAGTTATAATTAATCTCAGCAAGTATTATATATAGACGCTGTTGTGGGTTGAATTTTGTCCTTCCCATAAGATGTCAAAGGCCTATCCACAGTACCTGTGAATGTGATTTTATTTGGAAACGGGGCTGTTGCAGAATATCAGGTTAAAATGGGGTCATTAGGGTGGGCTCCAAACCAATGTGACTTTGTCCTTATAAAAAGGGCAAATTTAGGCACAGACACAGATATACACAGGAAGAACACTGTGTGAAGATGAAGGCATAGATCAGGGTGATGCATCTACAATCCGAGGAACGTCAAAGATTGCCAGAAAACTAGCAGATGCTAGGAGGGCATCAGGGAACAAATTCTCCATCACAATCTCAGAAGGAACCAACCCTTCTGACGCCTTGATCTTAGACTTCTAGCCCTCCAGCTGTGAGCCAATAAATGTCTGTTGTAAGCCACCCACTTGGTGGTACTTTGGTACAGCAGCCCTAACAAACTGGTACAAATGCAAAAAACACTGGGTGAAAGTCTGATGGGGAATTATTGGATGCTTACACAATCTCCAAGCACTCCCCACAGCTTAGTCATTATTACAAAGGGAAAACTGGTCACTCTACAGTACAGAGACTCGGCTGGCCCCACCTTAGCCAAGTGATCAAAGTAGCGGGACACCAAGATTTTAGGTGCCTCTGCATGTGAGGTGAAAAGAAGGACACATCACTTATGTAGCTAAAATCCCTAACCTGGATCCAGTCATGAGGACACGTCAGACAAACACAATGTCCAAGCTGATGAACACTCTATGGGACAACTGGCTTGTATACTCCAAATAAGTGAGTCATAAAAGACAAGGGAGGGCTGAAGATGTCTTCCAGATTAAGAAGAATAAGAGACATGGGATTCAAATGCAGTGTCTGATTCTGGATAGGTCACTAGATCGGAAAAATAATTGCCAGAAAGGATATTATGGAGATCGTTGGCAAAATTTGAACATTGACTTTGTGTCACATATATTATATTGGTGTTTAATTTTCCAAACATGAACTCACATTGTGGTCATATAGGAGAATGTCATGTTTTTGGGAGATACATGGGTTGCATTCATAACCCTTTAAAATTAAAGGGTTATGGTTTCCACAACGTACTCTAGAATGATTCAGGAATCATAGTCGTCATCATCATCATCATCATCACCACACAGATGTATAGAGATAGAGCAAGAAAGAAAATGTGGCAAATTTTTAATGGTGAATCAAAATCAGATTTAAAAAATTAACTTTTTTAAAAAAGCATCTTTCCAGTATCTTTGAATGTTTTTCAAAATAAAACGTGTCAAACATGAAATCCCTCACTTGATTTGTTCCATGAGGTGCCACACTGGTGTCTCTAACCTTTGTAACCTGGGATACCACCCCGAAGCCACTCGTTCTCACTGTTCTCAAACAGGAATCCCAGAAAAAGCACCAGGTATTACATATTCATAACTAATTCAGAAAACTATCACTCGCTTCAGTACTAGAGCACTGTAAGGGTATCTGTCCCATAATAAAGTACACCAGGAATGACCATTCTGCCTTCTGCTTTTTTAATGCTAAAACTCCCACCTTTATACTGTGGGAATCTGAAGCAAATATACGTATTTTGAGACAGAGAAAGAATAAAATGGCATGACATCTCGCAGGCATCTCCTCTTTGGAGGTTTGGAAAATTTACCTGTGTATGTTGTGCTGCTCATTCTTTAAACTACACACAAGCACTGTTTCTTTCAAGGAGCATTCTCTGGCCTCCCAGTCAGTTGGGTTCAACTTCTGTGTCCACAGCACCCTGTTCATGATTCTAAGTACTGGTTACTCCAAGCTTTTATAATTGGCTTACTCTTCTGATTCTAAGACCACATGGTTCTTGATGCAAGGACAGGGCTCAACTCTGTCATCTTCAGTGCTTAGATGAACCAGGTGACCAATCACCCCAGTTTGCCTGGGACATGGGGGATTCTAGGACACACCATATTTTCAGCGCTTACACTGGAAAGTCCTGGCAAACCAGGACAAGGTGATCACACACATCTTAGCACAAGGTGGGTGCTCAATAAATGTTGATTGGGAAAATAGATTTAATTGTCTCAGTCTGCCATAGACAATCGTGCTAACACAAAATTGTGTGGTCCCACACCGTGCACTCAAGTTGGAAAGGCGGAAGCAGAGATGGGCTGTATCTGGCTAAGTGAGGAGCAACATGGGCCCTCTCTGAATCACCACAAGACATTTTGTAATCAGGTCGTGTTCACTCTGGCATTTCAGTAACCAGGCGTTTCTACTGTGTGATCGGAGGACATAACAGCAAAAGAGCAGCCAGAGATGTAAATGCTGTTTTAACATTCTGCACAGAAACATCAGCCGATTCACTTCCAGCCAAGGATGCTGATGGGGACAAGATGGAAAAAAGGGACCCTATTAGCCACCAGGGAGACACATGTCTTTGATTCCAAAGGGTATCCGAATGATTGCAGTTCATTTGTTTCAGTATCAAGCATTTCAATCCTTACAGCATTTAGAAATACTTCTAATTTTCTTATATTTTTATTTCTGCATAATGTGTGTGACCACTTTGCTGTAGCTCTAGACCTGCGTTGTTTTTTAAATTTTCTTCGTGGAAATTTAAGTGCACAAACAGTAAGCTAAGCTTTACGTTAGCAAGAACTGTTAGTAAATATGCGTTACTGAAGTAACAGTGAGTCCTAATTCATTATACAAATCTGATGGGAACAAAGGCCTGGGGTCAAATAGGGAATTTACAGCAGTGCCTTTTCTCTGCTTCCCACATGAACCATCAACTATTCTAGGACAAATTAACTTTCTCAAATACTTGCAAGCTATATTTACCATTTGTCCAGGGCTACATTCATAATACTGTAATATTAGTGATACTAGTAATACATGAGTATTCAGAGATTTGCCTCTGTGTTTTTAATGTTTTTTAAAATTTATTTTTATTTTTTATATATTTCTAA